TGCAAAAAGCTACATTTCTTTCTTTCGCCGATCGCTTTTGTAGGCCGACGCTTCTGTCTCTGTAATTTTGGAAAATCCGCCAGGTTTGTGGGTTGATTTCAAGTCGTACTTCCGTTCGATACTCTCGCACATTGTCGCGCAATACTGAGCACTGTTTTAAGTGTGCGACCCGTATAGATCTAGCCTCAAGTTTTCTTTTTTTTTACTAACGACTTTTAGTTGATGTTAATGCACCGACCATTCCTTTCATCGAAAGGGGGCCCAGCTAGTTTGTTTCTATCTTTGAATGGGAAGGAAATACTTCTGTCTCTCGCCTCATCAATGTGCTACTGCAGCTGATTTTAACAACAGGCAGCGTCAGGTTTTTCCTGCATGTTTACATTTTCAACATTTGTTTACCTATGGGTTTTTTTCAAGTTTGTTTTGTTGACAATCTTGATAATAATATAAAATACATTCTGTATTCTTACTTTCTACATCGATACGTTCTGCATTTATACGTTGTGTATTTATACAATGTTAATGTATATATTCTATGATACTTTGCGTTTTGCTTTGTTGACAATCTCGATATACATTCTGTATATTATTATATATACACTCTGTATTTATACTTTCTGTGTTGATACATACTGTATTGATACATTGTGTATTTATACATTGTTTAATTTATACTTTTTATAATTATACATAGTTTAATGTATACTTTGTATAATAATACAGTGTGTACTTTCTTTCCCGCAGGTTCTAACGGAGTACGGGAAGGCAGTCATGATGCGCTAGGAGACAGCAGGGTGGAAGTGCCGGTGAGTCCTGAGTTTGAATCTTTTTTGTGTGCTGTTGTTGTCATTATCGTTGTTGTTGCTGTTGTTATTGTTGTTGTTGTTGTTGTTGTTGTTGTTTACTAATGATTGTTGGGATTGTTGTTGTTGTTGTTGTTGTTGTTTTGCGTGGTGGTGGTGGCTGTAGTTGTTGTTGCTGCTGCTGTTATTGTTGTTGTTGTTGTTGTTGTTGTTGTTGTTGTTGTTGTTGTTTACTAATGATTGTTGGGATTGTTGTTGTTGTTGTTGTTGTTGTTTTGCGTGGTGGTGGTGGCTGTAGTTGTTGTTGCTGCTGCTGTTGTTGTTGTTGTTGTTGTTGTTGTTGTTGTTGTTGTTGTTTACTAATGATTGTTGGGA